CCCCCCCGCCACCTCCTCTCCTATGTGCCCTTGTGATGCTCCAGGTCGCCAGGGGGGCCGCTGCGAGTGCGCGCCCCCCGCGGCGACCAGTCCCGCGAAGCATGTGTGGCTCCAGTGAATGCGGTTCACGAGCCTCGGCCGGCGGCCTACATGCCATGACGCTCCCTCCCCCCCCCCCTCCCTCTGCATTCTTCCCCTCTCCCCTTTTCGTCAATAGATTAGACGGTAAGTGACGCTGCGCTCAGCACGCCCTTGCCAAAATGCCTCCACTCCCCCGCGCCGGTATTTGCTTTGCGTTGCTTCAGGGAGGGGGGACGCGTGGTCCGTTGGCGCACGAGACCCCCTTCCCGGGGGCGAGGGAATCTCCTGAAGAGCAGACACACCTCACTGTCCCGGCCCCGGTGACCGCCCATGTTGCTCGAACGTGCATCTCCCCAGGCCGCGAAGAAGCACCACACCCACGGGAATGATGGCCCTCCCTCATGACGCACGCACGAGCAGGCACAGGGTCCGGTCAAGCCGCCACTCTGTGATCCGGCCCACGGGCAGGGCTCCTCATCGGTCGCCAGATCGAGCCTCCCCCCGCCCCCCTTTCGCACACATGGCATCTCTCAGTACACACATGCGTGCATGCCAAAAAAAAAATACAATCACCCGTTCAAACGGACAAACGAACACGCACATACGCGCGCACACGCGCGCACACATCCGCGCAAATTTGCGATCGGCCCGATCACTCTCCCCGGCCTCCTCCACGTACGGCGCCCCGCGCCCCGGACAGGAATGCCCCGAAGGGCGCGCACCGCCCTGATTGGGTCTCCACGGTGTGTTTGGCGAGCCGGGCGATCCGTTGTCACTTGAGATCGAGCCCGTCCCCCTGCCAGCTGTGGGCCCCGCGCCAGCCCTCGCTCGGGGCCACGCACACGTTTACCCGCCCAGGCACTGGGCGCGGGTGTTCGCGCGCGCGCGGGCACAACCGGGCTGAGGCCGGCCCCGGCCCCGGCCCCCGTGTGCCAGGGGCGGGGGCATATGAGAGACTGAGGCACGGGGAAAGTCGCGAACACCAGCTGCCCCGCCCCCTGCCCAAGATGCCAGTAGCAGCTCGCAACTGGACGGCCGCGGGGCCGGGCGGCAGCAGCAAGCCACACACACACACAGAGCCCCGGGGTAAACACGGGTCCCCGCCCCAAAGGGCGTGCCAGACCCAGAGACTCTCCCCCACGCTCCGGCCTGGCCCCTAGCCCCCCCCCCTCTCCGAGATCCCGGAGAGCCAAGTGCACCCGGCCCATCGCCAGGCCCAGCCATGGGCTTGGCCCAGCATCTCCCCTCTCGCACCACACCCTTCTCCACACCCCTCTCCTGCCCGGCCTCCCCTTTGTCTCCTCCCTCGCGCAGTTGGCCTGTGACACACACACACACACACATACACATACATTTGCCCGTTCACAAAGCACCGCCATCGACCACGCTCCGTGAGCCAAGTTAACGCCTCGCCATGAAGGCCAAGTACGCGGCGTCCTACCAGCCAGCGCTGCTGGAGGAGACGCGCGTCGACCGGAGAACCCTCTCCACCACGGTGCCCCTGGCGGTCTACGGCATCACGCCCTTCGTGGTCTTCGGCCTCTGGATGCTCGGTGGCTGGACCTCCACGACACTGACTTTCACCGACTACGTGCACCACAGTGTCCTGGTGCGTGATCCCGCCTGCCCGCCCGCCTGCTTGTCTGCCTGCCTGCCCTCCTGCCTGCCCTCCTGCCTGCCTG